GAGCTCATTAAAAATGTTGATTCGACGGTGAGTGTGAACAAAAAACTCATTAAGCGATACCGGGTTCCATATTTAATTAATAAGAAACTTCTGTATGATCGATATGTCATCGTGTTGGAAGTATCCAAACTAAAATTATGGCTAACGTCTGAAACCGAAATTGCGTTTCTGACGTCTAGACAAGGCAATACAATCCAATCGCAATAATATTGATGCCCTGATAATTATCAGCAGAATCGTGGCCGATTCCCTATTAGGATGGTCGAGCTGTAAAGTGCTTATGTTTAGTTTATATCGCTTGTCGTATATTGTTAAGTGTAAATATATATATGTTGTCCCTCTAAAGTTAAATGTCTCTAAGTATGAATAACCATTGATTGTATAATGTTAAGGAGTGTGATCGGGCTTCGCTCTTGTTTTCCGGCTAAGCTGAGATCGACAGACGTGACTGCGGTTCAGCAAAAAAAAGCGAAATTTAAGAACAAAAGCCATCACCAATTTTAGTCAGAAAATTTAGCGTTCTTATAATGAAAGTGGAGTGGGATCAGGGTATCTCCTAGTCGAGCACCCCGACTAGCGCTAACTTACTTGTTTTAAAATATGTTCGTTAATAAAAGAATCAGAGAAATATTTGGAAGAAAACGAAGACTAGAAAATCTCGGTTTTCAAAGATGGGAGTCATGGTAGCTCTTTTAATGTTAATGATATTTTGTGAAGCTTAAATGCAGATTTAAACACTATGGAAATTAAAATGTATTTTTCAAATATGCTGCAACCCCAACAAGACGTAAAAATTGATCAAAGTAGCCAATATGCAGAAAAATAGCAAATTCCTCAGAAAATCATCAAGTGAAACCTATCAAATGGAGAAAATTCAATAAAGCATACTGAAGAGTTTAACATGTGTATTCGTTGGACTGCACCTTAGAGAATGGTCATTAGAGTGGCCGTTATATAAGACAACATTGCCAATAGAAATTGCTCAATAACAACACCGACCTAATAAAAAATAAAAGCACGAAAGGAAACGATCAGTTTTGTGTATAGCAAATAGCTTTGATTCGTTGGGTTGACTATCCCCTGCTATACTTAAGAGGGAACTATGGAGTGTAGAAAAAAACAAATGAAAACCGACAATACTACACAAAGACTCAAACCACCATTGCCTACGCATCTGTACCAACACCGCCACTTCTCCTTACGATTCTTCGAGTGGATATAATATAGATAGATAGATAAAGAATAGATGGATATATATATAACATAGTATAAAATGCGTACGCTTGGAGTTGCTTGTCACGTTATTTGGCAATTTGGCCAAAGGTTTTGTTTAATAACTTCTGTTTTACTTAATCGATTTTAATTAAATTTTTAGCGTATGATCTACATATTCGATTGGGGTAATTTTCAACTTAGTAAGAATGCAAACTCCTTCACATATTAACTCTTTTCAACTAAACTTAAGTTTGAAGAATTTTGGGAAATTTGGACCGGTATCCAAAATATAACAATAAATATAACAATAATAAAAATTTTAGAAAATATACAAAAACTAATACAAAATTTGGAGCCTCTAGCTCTTAAGCCGAGGGAGGTATAATTTAATAGCTGCATTTCGATCATGTTTTTATCGATAACAATTAAATGGCAATAGTTATCGATTATTTAAAACAAGTTTGATATGCGCGTATGGACCTACAAAAAACTACTAGGCAGTTGCTGAGATTGACGCATTCACTCATTCGGACAGACGGACAGGGCTCAAACGGTTCGAATTGTCGTCCTGATCAAGAACATATATACTTTATGGGGTCAGCCACTCATCCTTCTGCCTGTTATTCATATATCATTTTCAATTCAATTACTTAAAATTATGTTAACTTTCTTAAAACTCTGACTACAGTTTGCAGTTACTAGCTGGATCTGTGTTGTTCTATATTGCTTGTCGTTCGAGTCCAGTGAGCTGGCACCAGAAAGTAAAGGTTTCTTACCCGACAATGGTGAATGTCGACGGTGGACAGCATGTCCGGTTTCGATTTCCAACAAGTTCATTATATGTTGGAAACAAGTACGTCCGGTTTATTGTCTAGTTAGTCAGGGTTCTGTTGATAAGAATACAACGAAGAGCGTTATCCCCAAGTCTGGGTCATCCTTCTTCTTGCCGTAGAAAGGTAAAAGTTAGTTTCCTCACCTGCAGTTATTCTTGACCAAGACGGCTTCACATACTTTAAAGACCCTTTTTCCCCCTTTTATATCTACTATGTCATTTTACTCGATCTAAGCTCTTGGATGTATTTTGGCGAGGCGGAATTTACATCTTTATGCTCGCTTTCGGTTACCGAATGGATGGATCCACGATCTTAGGTTTAATCACATATTTCCATAAGGGGTGGAACCACTCCACTTAGCCGTTTGATGCGCTGTAGTGTGGCGGTGAGTTTCCGATGCTTACACCATTATTTTTCGTTAGTAGAGACCATATTTTCTCACACTTCGCAATCGATATATTTTGCACAGGGTAAGACATTCATCAATAACAAAAGATGAGGTCTGAAGTGATTTGGTCAGTTTATCCACATAAGTGAGGAAGAACTTATTATCTGTTGAGAAGATTTAAGCGTGTAATATTGTGTCTACTTGTGAAAGAACTGCAGCATTATACTTTTTTTGTGCACAACCTACAGCCAAGGCCCACTTAATTGACTAACTTAGTCAGTTTGGGAACGTAATATTCCGCCATGATTTGCTTGACGTTTTCTTGAGCTACCTTGAGGACTTGGTTAAGCCAAAAAATACATACATAAGATCGTAAGATTTTTATCGACTTGTGCTGAATCATGGTCAGGGCGGTAGACTGTACTTACTACACCCTGGACACTATTTAGCTACGGAAGCAGCTTAATGGGTTTTCAGTTGGGTTAATCGTGCATGTTACAGACACCTTGCTAAGGAAAGTAGACACATCGGTCTCAGGATCCTTGTGATTGCTTTGTATGGCATACACATTTTTGCGCGTGATTTTCTTATAAAATAAAAATATTGAACGTGTTTCCCCTATTTGCGTCCTCCGGCGCTTGATTTTGTTGTTGGGGTTACTTTTGGATACTGAGAATGCTCAGGCATGAACATAGAGCATATTCAAGAATTCTAAGCATGCCGTTGACGCACTCAACCACTTGCAGGGAGTGGAATAGGAATAGATCAAATTACATGCTTAGATTCTAAAATTAAACATACGAGCGTTGACCCTTACACAGTCAGCACTTAATAAGCTAGATAGAGATGAAATACGCTTGAGTCAGATTATAAGAACTCTAGCTCAGACGAATAAAGATCATTACGCAACTGAACGCCACCACAGTCAAGTGTATTCACAGCAGCTTACGAGCTTTTAAGTCAAGTTAAGATGAGGAATCGTTCCTACTTCACGGCGGGTTTTCCATTTTTAATATTTTCCGTAGATAAGACTGCTCTGATACCGTAGGAAGAGCGTCAAATGGCTTTTTAAAATCTGGGTTGCGGAGGATTATGTGTTTTAAGGACAGAATATTTTCAAGCTTATCGAAAGCATTGAACTTAAGAGCAATAAAGTTGACGGATGTTTTCAAGGATTTACTAACCTTTATGTTTATTATGTTTACTAAACTTTCAATTTTCTCGCTTTGCTGGTGGATGGCTTGATAAAACATCTACAGTAACTTGGCTTCCCGAACTTATGGATCGCATTTGCTTTTTTCTTGTTTCTTTTGAAATCACCGCTGGATACAATAAAACCTAGAAGCTCGACATATTTTTAAAAAAAGGTCAACTTTATTGTTAAACTCTCTTATATTAGCCTATCGACATTTAAGGACCTGTTTAATGTCCGTACCGTATACGAGCCCTGATTTTTAACGATGTTATCTCGCAGCTCTTCATCAATTATCCGTTGAGAAATGCTTCCATCGTTCTCAAGGCCGAATGACTATACCACATTGATAGGAGGATATCTAAAAGCATATATTTATCTATCTATATCTATCGGAAAAGTTTCGATTTTTTTGTTTACTTTTAGGAAGTTTATTACAAGTGGAAACTTTCTGAAACATGAAAAATTTGAATTTATTTCTTAATTTAAATAATATCTTCAAAGCCTTTTCCTTCTTCATTACTTGCTCCAGAAGAATCTCCTTGGTTGATGGATACTGATTCGTACTAGCTAAGGCGCCATAAATTACACAAGTCGAGCGCTTGATATTGCAAGTCGTAAGTTGGGTGCATGTAATTCCTACACCGAGTTTAATTTTTATCGAAAACAAAATATTTTGTTTATGGGTGACAACTGCATTACAGCTTGTCTTTGCTGCACAGGTTGCTTAATTTCATAGCTCATGTCGTCAAATTCTTTTATTATTAATTTTTGTATTTTTTGGGACGTCACAATTGTAAACCGACTGTTATGAATATTTGGCCCTTCGGTTACATTAGAGGAGTTCTTAAGAATCGGTAATGGAAGTTTAAAAAAAATATAGTGTCTGCAATATATTTGGGGAATATAATCGTAAGTCATCCTTTCAACTTAAAATTCATTCACGAATTTAATATAGTTACTAACAAATCTTCTTTGCAAGCATATTTATTTTACTGTCTGTAACATTTATAGTCATTATCGGTCTATCTAAGATGAATGATAAACGTCATACAAATGAAGTGGATGGTGAATTTCGTTGGATCTATTATTCGTAGCTATAGAAAGAGTTTAATATTGAAAAACTTCCATATTGAACCTTGCCTCCTTAGTCAAAATCCAAATTGGAAAAATTTTCTAATAAATTATTTTGATTAATACAATATCAATTAAATATCGGAAAATTAGATATTTTAGTAATTTTTAATTTACGTGATTTACATGACGTAACGCATCCGATTTTACTTAAAATTATATTTGTTAATTGGTTTAATATTTATTTTGTTCCAAAATCAACTTGATACAACATATTTGTATTAAAATTACAGTTTTATTGTATATACATTTGCAAAAACAATTATTTTACTGAGTTTAAGTTGTTTTCACAAGTACTGTAAGCCACACCAACGCCAAAACCAGCACCAAGCCATGCAGGCCACAAACGTCTTCGTAAAAATAATAATGACACAACTGATCCAATAATAAGACCCCCACCTGTAAATAAAAAATTAGCTTGTTAATTTTGTAAAAAAATCGGGATTATATCATACATATTTCCTTTCTGGCAAGTCTGCTTTTGCCTGCCGCATGTATTTTAACTTGCCAACTAAGAAAATCCCTGATTACTACGAAAAGCTTCGTTTCTTCCTTGTTCAATTTTCAGAATATACATACCATTCATATGGGTATGTAATTGCCAAAGAACCAGTCTCTGGTATTTGAAATAAGTTTCTATCGGTTTCGGGAATATTTTTTTGGATATGAATGGATAATTCGAAGTATTAAATCATCGATTCTTATCGATAAAACAATAATACTATTTCTTGAGTAAAACTATAAAAAAACAAGTAAAAAAGCTCTAGTCGGGGTGCCCGACTAGGAGATACCCTGATCCCAGTCCTATTTGCGTTTATTAAGATTTTCCGTAGTTTGTATCGAGTATTAAAAAAAAAGAAAACAAATAAAAAAATATATTACGAGACCAGGATTCGAACCCGGATTGTTTGCGCAACGTGCACCAACTCTACCAACACCGCTACTTCAAAATTAAAAAATAAATAAAAAAAAAAAATATTTCATCTCCACCGGTCTCGAACACTGGGTCTAGCTGCATATGAGCGCTGCCTCTACCAACGCAGCCACTGCACCTCTTACAAGAGTTGCAAATTTGAAGTTGAGTAGCAGCTGAGGATTCAAGCAGTACTCAATCGCAACTTCGATTCTTGGAATTGAAAAGAATACACGCATTTGAATGTATTGTGCACACGCATAGGAAAAATGCGTGCGCGTAGCGCTGCTGACATGTGCTTTTGCAAATTGGCCAAACGTTTTGTTTAATAACTTGTGTTACTTAATGGATTTTAATGAAATTTCAGCATATGATCTACATATCCTATTGGCTTGGTTAAGATGCAAACGCCTTCACCTAATGGCCCTAGTTCCAACTAAACTTAAATTTTAAGAATTTGGGGGATTTTGGACCCGGTATCCAAAATCCAACAAAAAAATTAAAATTGCATAAAATATACATAAAACTAAATACAAAATTTGGAGGCTCTAGCTCTTAAGACGTTAGAGATATAATTTATTTACTGCATTTCAAGAATGTTTTTATTCGATAACAATTAAATGCGAATAATTATCGAATATTTCAAACAAACTTGACCTGCGCGGACCTATACACGGACCTACAAATGTCTCTAGCTCTTATAGATGCTGAGATCCACGCGTTCACACATACGGACAGACGGACAATCGACTCGGTTTGTCGTCCTGATCAAGAATATATATACTTTCCCATTTTCAATGCGATCAGGATATAAAAAAAAAACTAAAAATGTGTAACAAAAAGTATCTCTGAATTCATGTTTACTTCTGAATTCCTTCCAATTTAGCTGGGAAATTGTCGATTTCGAAACTAAGACTGAATTACTCTAATTTTTTAACTGCCTGGGAAAAGATAATGGTTTGCTGATATCTAATTGATTTATTATAATCACAACTTTGACAAACCGGTTGCAGAATTAGTTGAAAAGTTTTCTATATGAAGGAAAACCATTTACAATGTTATAAATCACGCGGAAAACGAAGGTAGACTTGAAGAAAAGAGCACATGTGGGCGTAAAAGAAAGATTTGCTATCGGGCAAATATCAGTACAAACAGTTGCCAAGGGCTCTAAGGAAAATGTGACTTAGATGTGTCACATGAAACAGGTCATACTCGGCATAAATACTCTTTAAGAGTTGCACGAAAGAAACCACTGCCTTTATTAGTAAATGTAAAAAAGCGCTTTAATTTTGCTGTAAACATAATTACTTAGCCGGCAAAATATTGGGAAAGCGTCATATTTTGCAACGAAACGAAATAAGGTGGGTTAATTCCATGAGCACGTAATACTACGGGAGTTCATAATTATTAAAATAAGCATTTGTTTTCTATTTTAAGTTAAGAACGATCAAAACATTTTGTGACTTTATATTAGTAATATTTCTAATAAGATCTCTAAAATCTTTGAATGGTTTATTCTCTTCATTTAGGAAAGGCTATATTATATATCCGTCAGATATTTTGACTTGTTTTAGTCAATGTCTATTTTTTTTCTACTACTTTTTCGACTTTCGACTTGTCAAATTTATGTGCAAAAACTCATTCTATTCCTTTTATGCCTATTTGCTGGCTAAAAAATTTTAATTTTTTTATATCTTGATATATTATTTTTAACCGAATCAATACAGTATATTATATAATAGTGAGCACTCACTTCCTTTAACGATTGTATCAGAGACACATCGGTCCAATTTCACGCCAACTTGTTCTTCTGAAAATCCCATCTCGTTGGCTGGCATTACTGTAAAATTTATAAATATAATTTGAAACTATTACTTTTTTCTAAATTTATATTTTTTAGGTAAGGTTCTCTAATAGAGTTGAGCGATATTTACTTAACCTGTTACTTGTAGCAAGTATTAGAAATTCACAAATTAGCAGTGACTAAGAACAAAATAGTTGGTGGTACGCAAAGATTTACTTTTGACAATTTTTACTAAAAGATTTGATTTATACGGGGAATACTGAAGTCATAGTATTGGACATCGTAAACTAGTACTAATACCTATATTCATCTATTATTGGTTACTCATTTTATTCAGTGTTGCCAAATTTCAGGGCTTCTACACCCAGATCAGCTGGTAAAAAAAGCCAGAAAAAGCTAGAATACAAATTTTAAGTCTAGCAATATAGCTTATTTTTTGTATTATGAATCAACTCATTGCTTAATTATACAATTTTTTGTCTCAACAAAAGTTTTGTATGTATCTATATACATAAATCTAAAAATTAATTTGTTTTAAATGAATATATAAATATATTACCTTATGTCTAAAATTGAATTTAAAAAAATTGAATTTGAATAAACGTATTTCTAAATATTGCCTACATAATATTCATTTGACTAAAAAGGAGATCGATCTCTGCATTATCATACAAGGAGAAATATGCAGAGCAAAAAAAATATAATAAAAACCCATTTAATGTCTATCGCTTCCAGATAGTTGTCTTATTGTATCATCTATATTTTCCCATCTAACAAATTTGATGCCAAGCGTTGTGAAATGCCTTGCTTTTTATGATCGGATGTTATTCCCGCATTCTATTTGTTGAACGCCATAACGGAAATATTAAAATTGCCAACGAAGGTTGTATTCTGGAATAGATCTGATGAGCCATGTAAGCCCTAAGCACTTATGCTATGTACCCATTGTTAATGGCAAGCCAGGGTATTTTTAGTTTGTGAAATTGGATGTATGTAGTTATGAGTCGATCTCTAAAGACATATTTCTGTATATATTATGACACACTATGAGCATATATTTTTTTCGATAACGCCTTATTATCGATAATAATCGATAATTTGACCAGGTTTTGAGTTCCTCACTTGAACACCCCATTCGTCTCGAATTTGAAAAAACGTATTTTCGAATCTAGAGACTTGTTCTTTAACAAATACGTACGTGTGTATGGTGTTATAACTTGTTCTTTAACAAATACATGCGTGCGGCTGGTATTATTACACTCTGAAAATATATTTAAGAAGGTGCATATAGAAAAAAAGTTATTCAACAACTTATAGTAAAGCCCATATTGCAGCTCAAGTGCAGTCGCTTCGTATACTGCTCTTCAAACAGAGCGCGTGTGTGTATACATGTAATCTAATAAATAATAATAATTCCCTTAAATGAGCTTAAATCTATCTGTTGTACACAATATAATTAGAAACTTTAAATTTACATTATTAAAGACAGATTGTCTACAAGATTATATTTTTTTTGTAAGACCTGTTATGATATCCTAAATTCATTCAATATATATTGAAATCCAGTTTTTCACATCGGACATCTTTTAAGCTGTGCATATAAATTAGCAGTTCATTGAATGCTTTTTAGATAAATAAGGAAATTCTCCATGCGTATAATACTTGGGTTGACTTTAAATATAAGTTAACTGAATTGGATGTGGAAACGGATGCATTCGATGAATTTTAAAAAAACATCGATTGCTGGTAATGCATGATGGCTGAATATAACTGATGAGTTACATTCACTAAACTTATAACAACAATCGATTTTTGTATAGACCTAATCTAAGTTGAACAGCATTGATAACTTTATTTCCACAATATTTATTCCAAAAGAAATATATATTTTTTATATGTATTTATAAGTATATATTTGCTTTTAAGAAGTTTGTCCACTTCTGAAATAGTTTTAATGTGTTTGCGTATGGGTACATATTATTTTAAACTAATGCAAAATGTGTACATTTGTGGTATCTACTTACATGCATACATACACATTTAAATGTGGGTGTAAATGTCTCAACTCTGAGATGCAATATTTCATATACAAAAAACGTAAATAATTGATTAGGTAACTTTTAGACTAATGTATGTAATGAATATATTTACGTCATTGTTATTTTGTGTATGAGAAAGACGTGTATATATTTTTTTGACTGAAAAGCATTGGATGTACATTGCAAATTAGAATATTGCAAAAATATATTCTACTTTGATATGAGTATGTTCAAATATAAACAAAGTCTGCGTCTATATGTTTGTAAGCAATTGTAACTATTCTTTCATATGTATATATACAAATGAGATCCCAAATGGGTATTTGATGGTTATGTATAAACATTTATTTTTATGACATAGGATTCTTATTTTAGCCATATCCATAGAAATGTGATTTAAAAACTATTGGCACAGTAAGTAATAACTTTTGCTCCATTAGGTGGAAACCAAAAAAAAAAAAACCATTGGAAAATGTGTACACTTTTATGTAAATGTATACAAATAATTTTCTTTAAGAACATTAATTTATGATCAAATTTGGAGGCAATAATTTGTTCATGAATTAATGTTAAATAAAATTGTTATATGTATACATTTCTCCATGTTGATTACCAGGATTCCGAGTCGGTTGTAGTACTCTTCCTTAGGCAGGTCGCATATAAGATTAGGGTGGGAAGCTTACACTCCTAAATTGCTGATCTTGGGTTAATAATGTTAATAATGTTATATTTAAGAACAAGTTATTCATTAAAGCTTAAGCTTGAAGCCCTTGTACAAAAACATAATTCCCAAACAGAATAGAATTGATACTTAATCCAGAGGCGGACCTAGAAAATAACTTGGATACAAGGTATATTTAGATAGGTGATAGTCAGGTCAAAGGTGACGAGGTAATTCCTTTCTATCAGAATTGTCGGACTGCCATCTATGTTAAATCTTGCGGACCACTCGTTAATGATGATAACCTCTTCATCCAATGTGGTGTACAATGCATACGACATATTGCCGTTGTTGCCAACTTGCAGAATGTTGCATAGTTAGTTGTAAATCAATTAATGTGAACTCTACCCTTAACCTTAGCATACTTAATTAGTATATGAATGGTACTATCAGACTAAAAGACTTAGCTATTCCCATTGAACTTACTTTGGTGACCTCTTTCAAACTTTAATTCCGAATCATTAAGATCGAAAATTGTGGGATTTTTAATATATGATCTAGTAAGTTTTGAGCATTCAGTTCTATATTTTTACTGTATTGAACAGTTAATTTAACTGTCTTTTTGTTTCTGTGTTGATAAGTACCTGTCTATTTTGTGGTTCTTTAAGTCTCGGACATCCAAATTTCTGCACCATTAAAGCGAAACGTTATATATCTACATCTCACAAGTTTCGCATATGCGATTGGTGAAATAAATCGGATATATTAATGATATTGTTTACAGTGCTTATAAAGATGGCTATTTTTAATGGTATTTTCTATAATGGTCGAAAAGATTATATAACTACGTTGATTATATACTAACGCGAATAGTAATTTCAAAATAGTGTGAAAAAAAGATTAAAAATTATTCCGATGAAATATATTAAATCATTTAATTCATGTAGTCATTTGATACGAAACATCTAAGAAAGTTTGTAGTCGGGCGGTCCATCTGTCTGTCTGTCCGTCTGCCCGTATGTGTAAATGCGGCGACATATATCTCGCACGGTTTCAGAGCGGGAACCTCCAAATTTTGTATTTAGTTTTATGTATATTTAATGCAATTTTGATTTTTCTTATATTTTGGTTACCGGCTTCAAATTTCCCCAAATTCTTAAAATATAAGTTCACTTGGAAGTAGGGCCAATAAGTGAAGAAGATTGCATTTCTAGGAATCCAATAGAATATGTAGATCATGTGCTGAACATTTCAATAAAATCCATTGAGTAAAACAGAAGTTATTAAACAAAACGTTTGGCCAATTTTCAAAAGTACTGTCATGCAGCGCCAAGCGGACGCATTGCACACATACAGTCAACTGCGTGTAGTCTTTTCTATCTCAACAATCCAAATTCCGATTGAATTCTCCTTGAATTGTCAGCTGCAACTTAAGTTGCGATTTGCATCTTTTTGCGGTGATGGTAGAGGCGGCGCTCCAAAGCTAAAATCTCTGGGTTCGTGCCTGGCTGGCCGCGAAGGGACATATTCTGTTTTTAAATTATGAAGTGGCGGTGTCAATAGAGTTGATGCGCGTTGCATAGACAATGTGGGCTCGCATCTTGATGTCGCAACGTCGATTTTTATTTGTTTTTTTTTTTTGTTTTCAATATTCGATACAAACCATTAATAATCGCAGATAGGACTAGGATCAGGGTATTTTCAAGTCGGGCACCCCGACTAGAGCTATCTTGTTATAGTTAGGAATGTATAAATATGAGTAAATAATACATGTAGTTGATGTTTGGTTTTACATATATATGTGCATATAGATATACTTGAAAGGGTCAGTTCCCAAACAGGAGTTTGCCTCTGTCGCTCCTACAGACTGGGCCCGAGGCCTGCGGTAGGCACAAAGAATGGCCTGCGTTAAAGCTATAAAAGCAACAGTAACACGATAGTAAACGTGGAAATTAACATAAAAGTGCCGAAAACCAACGAGGGTAAAATTATTAAACATTGAAGGACATCGATTCGTGAACCTTAGGCAATAACCGTAACCAGCAAGAATTTGATGCTGCACAGATAAAAAGGGCTAGGAGTTTGCAAATCCTATGAAGAAAAGAGCACGGAAAGAGTGCTGTGCAATCTTGGGGTTCCTCAGATGTGCTTACGAGCGAGTCCAGCCTTTGGAGAGCACTGTACCACATCCGAGTGTACCGCCGGTGTGCGTAAGCGGATTTGCTAAACAAAATCTACTACTAGATCCTGCGTACAGGTGAGTTCTGTGATAGCAGGAGTAGCTGAGGCATGGAATACTCACTTTTGTAATAGCAATTGTAACCCCAAATGTGAGGAAAATATATACCAGTTCCAATATTGAAATATTATGACTTATTGTTATGGTATGGCACGAACAGACTATCGACTGAATTCGGTCTAGCGTGAACTCAGGATAAGCCGAAAGCGAAAAAGATCTCAAGGAAGAAAGAAAAGAATAATACGTAATAATTTGTCAGGACCTTGCACGCAATGCGGAGCCAACTTGGTAAGTGTGTTGCCATAAATGAAGGAAGGATTCGTATTCCGCTCAGAGAAAAAGGAATCTGGTGTTGTGCAAGACGGCGGTCAGCATTCTGTACACCAGTGCTGTCTTCAGGATACGATCATGGGAAGCCGCATCCACCCCGCAACAACAAAGAAGTACACTTGGGCGAAGAAGCCCGACGATGGCACAATGAAGCTAGTGGAGTTTCTGAGCCAGGTTGATGGGTCAGCAGAGATCTCTATCGATTGTGTATGTGACAAACAACAATCACTAAACAGCGTGGTCAAAATTTGTGACCAAATTGCAAGAGTATTTTGAAGTCACTCAACAAAGGCCAATGGTTAGAGAGGCATTTGAGATATACACGGAGGAAATGCAAATCGTTATACGCCCATGAGGTTTTGTTGCAGCGCGCGAGACTAAAAAAAAATGCAATATATAAAGTTTGGGGGCTCTACTTTTTAAGCCGTTTGAAACATAATTTAATAGCTGGGTTTCGATCATCTGTTTAATCGATAACAATATTATGATAACTGTTATCGATTATTTTTAACAAACTTGATATGCGTGTGATAAACACGAGCGTATACATATAGGGATAGACTGACTGGGCTAAATCGACTGATGTTCTAGTTTCCCGTGATTGCCTAAGTTTTTGCTCATATAGCTGATATATCTATTCAGCAATTTGCGTCGTCTTGAAGGAATATGAAATTCTGTCATCTATTCACCAAGTTGTCACCGCATTACAATGTGCTTGTCAAGTTCAACTGAAAATTAAGTCAAGAAGTCTGCTTTGACTTTTGACAACTTTTGTTGGCGATTTAATGAACTGCTTGACAAACGTTGCATTGAGCACTCAAAAGGCCTTCACAGCACAATTGAAATGGTCAAGAGGAAGAGCAGAAAATATCGGCTGGGTTGATTTTCAGCATCTGAACAATAGATCCGTAATGTATGCATCTCCACTGCCACGACTACACGAGCCTGGAAAAGGATTGTTTCAGTGGTAAGAGTGCTCCACTCTATAGCAGTAATATTCAAAAGATTGCTGGATCGAGAAATTTGGCCCGGAGGAAATGTCGCAAGCATTTGCGTACCTTAATTGATAATACACTCCAGAAGTATAAGAACAACTGTTTAGAGGTTTTCAGGCAAGGGTTGTCGGCCACAATGCGACGGATTAATGGCATTCGTAGAGCTGAAGCCGCCAACGAACGAAGATGTGGAAGTTTCGTCGTGGTATCGCCATTTTCCGAACTTCCCAACAGTGCATACGCTCCACGCAGATGTAAGCAATTATATACTTATATTATATACTAGGGCAATCGTGACTAATTCCTCTGAGATTGGACACCGCATCATATCATATGTTAGTAGGACACTGAATACTGTGCAGCGAAACTATTAAGCTATGGAGTAGGAGTGTCTGGCTATAATCTGGATATAATATATAATATAATCTGCAAACTGACGTCATATTTTAAGGGCTACCATTTTGTGATAAATACCTACATGGCAATAAAGTGGCTCAACTCAATAGGGAACCCTTTGGGGATGATCGCCAAAAGGGCATTGGAGCTTCAACAGTTTGCCTTTGAGATCCGATCCACAAGATACCAAGATTTGACGGATCATATGCGGTGGTCAGTTTCATCTCCCCGGCTATCTTCCAGATCAGCTCAAGCTTGCAGCAAATATATTTTTTGACTTAGTAATTGAAATTTAAGCCCTCGTTTTATTCTAGGATTGAATTTTAGGAAAATATTCTTGATCAGGACGACAAGTCGAGTCGATTGAGCCCTGTCCGTCTGTCTGTCCGTATGTGTGAATGCGTCGATCTCAGCATCTATAAGAACTAAAGACTTAA